TTGGTACTCTGGCTGGCGGTGCTTTTAGTTCTCAAAAGATGCAAGGCGGACAGAGAGATCAGCCATTTGAATCTAAGTAGTACCAAGCTGTTAGCAAGCCTAATCAATAGGACGTATAAAACACAATCCCTTTAAAGCAAGTTCTTCTGTAAGACTAAAGATCGCTTTTTTGACTGAACCAATAAAACAGCCAACCCCTCCTCAGACTGTTTTTAAGAGTTGCTCCTTCTTCCATCCTGTTGCAGTCATTTTATTCCTCTATGTTACATTTCGGAGAGGAATAGGTCAACCATATAATAATCCGCTATGCACTTGGACTCATCGAATGGATTAAACAGGATCCGACCGCCCATTGTTCAAGCTTAAAATTCGAACTTTCCACACTTAGCGATTACCATCCTCACTGTTGAGAATAGCAGATAAGCACTGAACTGGTTGGTTAGGCATATTAGTGAAGTATTGCTACTACTATTAGTATCTTGTAAGACGTGCTTCTAACTATTCAAGAACTTTGAGCAGAACGAGGTAATCACAAAACTGCACGTTCGAAAACCTTGCACGTGGTGGTCATAGGGAACAACCGACAATTATATTTGCTTTAAATTTACTAGATGTAGAATCCGTGTTAATCATCGGAGGCTCATTGATGATCGCGAAGAGTTAGGAAGAATTCTGACTATTCTATGAAATCTTGACGCACTTGCTGATCAAAGCAAAAACCATTTGAACAATGAGATAACACTAGTACAGTTGCGAGCTGCGTTCAGTTTGTACATGAATTCGGTTTGGTCCGTCGGAAAACGTGAAAAAACTATATATTACTCGCGAAATGACGAAGTTCAGCCACAATATCATTGTTGCATAAGTTTCACACAATGTTAAATGATCACCAAAACTATGGTCACCTCGAGTTCATGTGTTTCTGAGTGCATACCTTCGATCCACTGATTAATAGTGTTTCAAGAAATTTCAGTTTCTTTGAATTGTTTCACCGCGGAATGATCTAGAGTGGCCAACGAATAGCAACATTAGGTCTGATCGTGGTAAGGCTCCTAACAGTTGACTAACCGAAATCTTTGTCGATTGAAGCCAATTTACTGTCGAAATTACTACGCAGTGCGCAGTTTTGTTTGGATGAATGTTCCTTGGCTCGTCAGATTAACCGATCAAACGTGTGTGATACTCGATTAGTATGAACGATGTAAGCTTGGTTTTCAACGTAAAGCCACGAGAGAAGGGAACGCGTAACTCGTGAACAATCTGTCTCTGCACATTTTCGGGTATTGGCACTTGACAATAAATGTGGCAGTATGTGATGAAATCACCTCATGTTTTTTAAAAAAAATAAACAGTCTTTTTTAACAAATGATGTTAGAAACCCTGTCCGGTTTACGTGTCATGATATTCTCGCTGTTTTAAACTACTGCATTCATTTGTGTGTTCTTTCTTCATGCGCATTTTCAGTAAGTAAGGTTACTGAGATAAACTAACTTGGCCCTAAACAAGTCATTGGTGTTTGCCAGACGCTGGGATAATTTCCGTTAGTTGATCAAAGTTTCTTTTCAGTAAGTTTGTATAACACTGCGTTTGTTTTCGACTGCTGCGTTCTACTATAAATCTTTGTAAGGAGCTGTTACGGAAGGTTTTCCGAAATTGTTAAACTTACCTTATGAGATGCATGCTCCAACAGCTTGGGCAGTGTTCGGTTCAGTCGACCTAAAAGGGCTTCCAAAGCTTTGCAAGAACGCATCGACTCATGGCTCCAGTCTACTGATGGGAGAACCTCGAGGAAATAGCGTTGTATGCCTGGACTTGATAGCAGCTCTGGATTGGAAGGGATTTGTTTGATGATGGACTGAACAATGTCGGAAAGGCGCTGGGTAAAATATAGAATGAATCACCATGTTAATCAGACAGCCACGTAGAATAGCTTAACCGAAATCACCATCGTGGGGATGCACAGGGTGGTATAAGATACGTTTTTACTACTAGTATATAAGTCATTTCATTATATTTTTCGTCCATGGAAGATAGAACGAAGGAGTACACCATACACTGCAGCTATTGCGCAAGATACGCTGTTGGGGGGAGAACATTAGCTTCAGCATTACTGAAGGTGCTTATATTTATCAGTTTGGCGGACTTTTACCATTTGGGCAACTAGCCCGGCTTAAAAATAGGCCATTTATGACTTTTGATTGTTCAGCGATTACAGCATGCATAGAAATCCATTATGTGCGTTTCGTGATGAAACATCGGTCTATCGGATGGCAATGCAGTTCAGCTGATTTCGAAACTACATTTACGTCACCCTCGAAGAATAGGTCGAAACCAGTAGGATAACTTCGAAGAGCAATCCGCATAAGCAGTCTAATGGACCCCGATTTCTCGATTACTATCAGACAAATGTTTGATTTGTTTTCACAAATTACTGCAAAGATCCATTTTGCTAAACAGAAATAAAAATGATGGGATTCGCGAATAAATTCATGAATTAGTGTTTATTTTTGGTTTACTGGTGCTATCGAAACCTAGCTAATGAGTGGATAAATTCTTCGCACTCAGAAAGCTCACATGTACGTTCACTGAGTAAATATGATCCCCAAAGGTTTTCAAGTACTCATTTAAAAATAAATCGCAAGGTCGTAAATTCTCGTCCAAGAATTTCATGCAACTAACTCTATCTGACGCTAACTGAGACAGGCAAGATGCATTCGAAGTTGGTGGGTTCGTTGTCAGAAAGTAGGAATGGATTTTGCAGATACGGAAATGAGGAGTAAAGCTACGGGTTTCAAGAAATGATGAATCTTGTTCCCCATTCTGACAACTTTTAAGAAAGGCCATGGGTTAACTGGAAAGAATCGTTGACTGATCCTCCGCGGGCGACACACAACGAGCTACCGTTGGCTTATGGTTGAAATTCAATGCTGTAAAAGCAGCCATAGTCTGTTTTTTTGTTCTGGTAAAATTAGCTGTTATTCTACTCTTAAGTTGAATCGGGTTGGCCCGTCTTAGCCTAGGGAATGTATCTGGCCATATATTGATAGGATAAAACGAATAATTGGTCCACTAACCTACAGATTTTACAAATGTCATACTGGGAAAAAGGATTTCATTTAGGTAAGAGGTGAAATCAAGAACTATTATATTCTACACCTTCTGGATAAATGGCATTTCTTGATGAGTAGAAGTTTATTTGGCTTGAAACTCACGACATGTGACCTTGAATCCAATAGTTCCGGAATCCGTTGTCTCTCTCCCAGTTCGTTTAATCGAGCAGTGGTGAACGAAAGGAAATCGCAGGCTAGCTGAAGAATGACTTCTCTTGGTTCGTAAAATGAACGGCTGACGATGGGAGATTGAATAGTGTCCACGTCCGTCAAGTCCTCAGTACCAGTTCCGACTACTCGAATTGTCGGTGAAATTGGTTTGGTGACTTCCAACGAAGATTCTATGCTAGACTTTATTTCCCGGATCCTACCAGTGCGTACCGTCTTCCGACTCCAACCATGCCCTAAGTTACTCATAAGCTGCTCTGGGCGACGCTCTACAGGGCCTCCCGGAGCGTGCATATTGAGGTTTCGGACATCTTCCGTTCGTCTAGACATGAGAAAGCGACATTCTTTGGTGAAATATCACAGACACTCTGGAACGATAACTCAAATCAGCCACTCATGCGTGAAACAACGGGTGAAACAGTTGTTGCACCTACCTACTTACCTACCTATGCCTCACAATGTTCTTTCCTTAATTAAAAAGATACAAACATACAGCCATAAACTTGTGGTGCTTCTGAGATCAGGATGCGAAAGATCCCNCCTCCCGGAGCGTGCATATTGAGGTTTCGGACATCTTCCGTTCGTCTAGACATGAGAAAGCGACATTCTTTGGTGAAATATCACAGACACTCTGGAACGATAACTCAAATCAGCCACTCATGCGTGAAACAACGGGTGAAACAGTTGTTGCACCTACCTACTTACCTACCTATGCCTCACAATGTTCTTTCCTTAATTAAAAAGATACAAACATACAGCCATAAACTTGTGGTGCTTCTGAGATCAGGATGCGAAAGATCCCACAAAACTATAAACTAATGCCTGATTTATCTAGCCAAAACTGACCTAGCCATGAACTCGGTTGTGGCAATAAGCTGACGAATGGCGATACAAAGTTTCTGGATCGCGTTGGTCTCCGCCTTCTTTGGCTCGACTCCACAGTTTTCTTCTGTACAAATGGCGAAGAAATCCCGTAAAATGAATGGCAATATTGCTTGTAAGATGATCTGAAATGGAATGTCAAGAGTATTTTTGTTCGGAAAGGAAGCACCAGAGCAGTTTAGCAACACAAAATATTCAGTTTTGACAATATGGACCAAAGTTTGTTCTGATGACAAAGAATGGACTGGACCTAGTCCATTAGTTTACACTACGTTCTGTTACGTAGCATACTTGAGTGTAGATAAGTTGGACGAACATATGTTCCAGGGCCACATAAGCATTATTAAATAGCTATTCAAGGCTTCGCCCGACAAACCTTGTTGCGCTACTTTGTGTGTTGTGTAAGCGAGCTGCTGCAACGAGTACAACTTTGCAGTTGATCGCTGAATTACGGATAACAACGTTCTTGAGGTACAGTGCGGATTCCGCGCTAATAGTAATACGATGGGTCTGATATCTGTTGTACTGTGGCTTCAAGAAAATTCCATTGGCTTGGTTAGAGAACAAACTGGATTTACAACGTTTGTAATCGTGTTTACTTTGGTTGCCTTATACTTACTGGACATCAACAAACTCACAGCTCTGCCGTTAGCGTAACATCGTTGGACACTTGTGAGAGTGAAACAGACCAAACCGTAGAGACACCAACTCATCTATATATATATATATATATATATATATATATATATATATATACAATTGTATTAAAAGCCCTACAGTGAA